GGCCTCCGTGTTTCTCGCCTTCCTATTAACGGACGGGCGCACGCCGCGTCGCGCGTCCCACCCCGCCGTTCCGTTTTCCTTATTCGTAATATAAATCTGACGAAAGGCTATCCACCGAGAAGGAAAATCTATCCGGGATTTCGGGTGTCGTCGTCGAGAAGAGAAGAGACCAGCCGGCTCGCCGACCGATCGACGACCGAGGCTGAAATCGGGAGAGAGGAACTCTCCACTCCACGCGCGCGTCTCCGCGCGACTTCGCGCTCTCGGAGAACGAGGAGGCGCGGGTCGATACTCGCGGCAAAGGCGAGCGAAACCTCCATCGTTCTCCTCCGCGCGATCGGCTGTACGATTTCTTCGACATGAAAATTAGTTTCTCGAGAGTCGAGTGGCGCCGCGAGAGCCGGCGACCGAACGGAGCGCCGTCTCGTCGTCGGTCTTCCGCGAGCAGAATTTCCACGGAAGCCTCTTTACTCTTTTCCTTTATTTAAAATCCTCGTTATCGATGTCTCGATGAGGCGAGTGGAGCTTCGCGTACTTCCGGAAGATCGCGAACGAAGGAAGGGAGAGAAAGAAAAGCAAGAAAGTACTCTCGATAGGCTCTCGGACGGAGAGTCAAAATTGCAGAACAGGGCTCTGTCCTACCCCCCACCCCACCCACCCTCCTCACCTCCTCTTCCGCCGCTACTCTTATTCAATATCGAGCGCTGAGGAGCGCTCGAATGAACTTTACAATCAACGCGGGATAAAAAACACGGATCGCCATCGCGGCGAATACGCAAATATGCTTAATTAATTCCGACGGGACGAATGTTCCCCCTCTACCCCTGCCGCTTCTTTCATCGAAAGTCGCCGTGGTCAAAGTAGAATGTATAATATGGCGATAGAGCGTGGCGTGTATCTTTCAGGGCGCCCTTTGCGTGAGTTTCGACCCTCCACTGCCAGCACCGCAGCAACGGCAGCAACGGCAGCAGCAACGGCAGCAGCAGCATCAAAGTGTCTTTACGCTCCCAAGCCCACGCGCCCTTGCCTTCCTCCGCCCCCTCCACGTCGGCCTGTTCAAATACTCTGAGCTAATTCCGTTTGCTTGTATATTAATAAATGGCCCGCTATCAGGGGGAGAGAGAGAGAGAGAGAGAGAGAGAGAGAGAGAGAGAGAGAGAGAGAGAGAGAGAGAGAGAGAGAGAGAGAGAGAGAACCGGCGTAAGGGCACGTACTTATCGTGTTCGGGATATTAATGTCGAGAGAGGTGATTGACGTAGGAACATCCACAAAGCGTGCCGCGATCGTCTTTTTCCACGCTGTGATTCAAGCACGAAGGACCTGTCGCTCTCTTTCTCTCTTTCTCCCCCCCTCTCTCTCTCTCTCTCTCTCTCTCTCTCTCTCTCTCTGTCACTCTTCCGTTTTCCTGTCTCTCTGCTGCGCTTAATTAAGAATTACGAGGTATCCGGATATCCTAATCGACGAGCGCGCTCCTCGAGGAAGATTGAGCGTACTCGTTTGGAAATAAGCGCGCACGCACTCTCTCTCTCTCTCTCTTTCTCTCTCGCGTTCTCCCTGCGCGCGAAAATGCTCGCTTTCTCGGGGAAGCGTGAGAAAATGGCGCGGGCGGAGCCGCGAGCGAGTTTCGGAGGAGCGCGTCGCTACTCAATTAACGTCGAGCGAGGCCCGGGTACTTTCCAACTAAATCACTCATCCGCGGAGATAAATTTCCTGTCACGTATGATCGAAGCTAATGGCGTGCGTGAGAGCGCCGCTAATCCCCGTCCGAGGAAACTGATTAGGTCGCCGCACGGGGGAGGAGGCGAGCGAGGCGAGCGGGGCCGCGAGCAGCGAAAACACTCTCGTTTTTATTGATCTCGGACGGCGAAGAACGGCACTTCCTCCTCCGGGGAGGAGGATCGCTCAGAAGCGGATCAAGCCGCCGGAGCCTGAAGGCTAAGAGGATTTCGACGGCACTCTTCACGCATTTTTCGTCACGTGTCACGTGACGCTTTTTCGAGCGTCGCGTGTGACGCGTGAATTCCAGTGCGAGCTCGAAATCGACACATTGTCTTTGCCTCTCTCTCTCTCTCTCTCTCTCTCTCTCTCTCTCTCTGCCGCCCTCGCGCCGCGCCGTTGCATTCACGACGTTCGTGGCCAATGGACAAATCTTGTCGGCGGTTCAACGGCGTATCGGCGACGGTCGATAAACAATGACTGGAAACAGGATGTTTGGAGGATCGCCTCGATACCACGGCTGTTGGACTGTCGACGGCTAGGACAACGCTAAACGCGGCCATCTGTCTGAGCCCTATTTGCCTGATACGGGAACGGTGCGTTGCGGTGTCAATAGCCGAGGAGGAAACAGACAGCCGCACTTAGCGTCAAACGCGCGGCGAGAGCACGGACCTTCGGCATCGGGAGGAACTTTAAAGGTCCGTAGGTGTAACCAACCTCGCGGCCGTTTTTACGAGGAGCACGTGCGCCCGAGAGGGGAACGATGCGGGAGCGATAGACAGATCGAGAGAGAGAGAGAGAGAGAGAGAGAGAGAGAGAGAGAGAGAGAGAGAGAGAGAGAGAGAGAGAGAGACATACAGACAGACAGACGGATAGGTAGAAAGGAGGCGAAGGGAGAGAGCGCGTATTTGGACGCAGCACTTCCGGCGAGCAGCGAGAGATGGGACGTGAGGTGCGAAGTGAACACGAGTGCTTCACGGAGGACGAGCTCGCTCTTTTTCGGGTCATTCACTAGAAAAGGAGGGGTAAAAAAAATCAGGCTCCCGTGCGCGGCCCGCCGACGCATCCTTCTGCGGACCGTTTCGGCCGAAGGGGCGCGAGAAGACGAGGAGAAAAAAAAGGAGGAGGAGGAGGAGGAGGAGGGGGGGAGGGGGAGGAGCAGAAGGCGAGTCGAACGTTTAGCACCCAGAAAAATCAACAGCAGCCTCAAAGAACCTTTTCAAACAGAGCGTTACGCCGGTCGATTAGCGTCGCGACACTAATGATCGACACTTGGAGAGATAGTAGATGAAAAAGGAGGGCACGCACGCACGCACGCACGCACGCACGCACACGCGGTGTCTACAATCGCGTCCATGTGAGCGGCGAAAAAATGTTTATCGACGGTCGAATGAAAATAATGATCGCCGCGATACTTTGGAAGCATCTTGTAGCGCAAGTAACGCGTGCCTGTCTCCAACGGCTCGATCGGGGTCATCCTCGCCGCTATTTCAACAATGGCAACCTTTGTGGCGAGGAGAGATTTTCGACGAAAGCTTCGCGATGACGAGGGATTTCGACGGGAGATACGCAATTTCGAAGTCTGCCTCCAGAAGTGGCACTTGAAGTTACTCCGTCGGGCGATGACAGTAGTGTTCGCAGATGAGTGCGAGTGTCATTAGGGTCGATGAAACGAGTGTAATGAGGGTAATAAGGGACGACTGCCGAGCCGCGGCAAAAGTCGAAAGCGCCGGTTTATCGTCGCGCCATCGAGCCGAAGCCGAACGCGTCGTAGGCATCCGCATGCCCGGACACCTACGTGAGGTCACGAGAAGGATGTCCTCGGCGCGAAACTCTCCTTTCGCGCGCGTTCTCTCTTCCTCTCGATGCCTACGACGCGTTTAAATAAACCACCGGGCCTTCCTTTTTCCCTCCCTCGGCCTTTTTCGGCCGGCACCTCGCGAACCGAAGAGCGGTCGTATCACTAATTTGTCCGTTCAAACAAAAAGCAATTTGTTGGCCAGCCGGAGTGACTCATGGCCGCCGAGAGCGGTGTGTATACGGTTCGCTCGAAGAGCGCGAAGCAAGGGAAGCAGAAAGAGAGAGAGGGAGAGAGAGAGAGAGAGAGAGAGAGAGGTGCGAGGTGCTGGAGGAGAGAGAATCGGGAGTGACAGAGAAAGGAAGAAGAAGAAGAAGAAGAAGAAGAAGAAGAAGAAGAAGAAGAAGAAGAAGAAGAAGAAGAAGAAGGTGAAGGAGAAGAAGAAGAAGACGAAGAACAGGAGGAAGAGACGAAGGGAGGTGGAGGCTGATTTAAACCTGTCTGGTGGCCCGCTGCGCGCTTAACAACTGAAAAACAAACATGGCGCCCAGAGAGCGCACCGGCCAGCGGGAGCCCACGTATGCCGCGCGGCGCACTGAGACCATAAAGTGCTTCTGATACCCCCGGAACCCGGTCCAGTCGAGTTCCAAAAGATTTCTGCCCCGCGAGGGAAGAGAGAGAGAGAGAGAGAGAGAGAGAGAGAGAGAGAGAGATAGAGAGAGAGAGAGAAGTGGGAGAGGAAAGAAAATGTCGGGAAGTTCTGGAATTTTTTTCCGTCTAAGCGTTCCTTTGTTGCGATTGCCGGAGGGGCGAGAGAGAGAGAGAGAGAGCTTCGGACCGCTCTTGAACCGCGACCTCTTACCGACCACCTCGCGCGCGCGAGACAGAGTCTTAATTTATGTTTGAGACATTTTTAATATTTCTCCTTTGCCCGGCAGAAAAGAAGGATGCCGCGCACGCTCGCGCTCTCTCGCGTGCGTGCGAGCGAAATTCCTGCGCCGACGCGGAGGAATACCACGGTGCTACTGCCGGCACGTGAAATATTCCCGGGGAAATTCGCGATGTTTAAGAAATTGCTCCTCCGCGTCTCGCCGCGGAGAAGGAGCGACGACTCCGGGACTTACTTTCGGATACTTTTAACGCCGCGTCAAGGGTCAAGAGAGAGAGAGAGAGAGAGAGAGAGAGAGAGAGAGAGAGAGAGAGAGAGAGAGAGGAGGAGAGAGAAGAGAGAGAGAGAGAGAGAGGGAGAGAGAGGAGAGAGAGAGAGAGAGAGAGAGAGAGAGAGAGAGAGAGAGGGAGAGAGAGGTGAGCCGACGGGGCGGGGAGGCGACTCGAGGAACTGGCTCTTTTTCTCGCGCTTTCCACCTTCTTACTATCGAACGGAGACTGAGAATTTTTGGCGAAAGACGGGAACAATGCGGTCCTCCTTTGTGCCCTAGAGTGCCCGATCGAAAGAGAAAAAAGAAAAGAGATCCGCTGTACTTACGCCAGAAGTGCTGACTAGCGGTCCAAACGGGTACTTCGTCCAGTCGAGTTTCTCCTCCGTCGTCGTGTCCAACAGAACAACTGCAATCAGAAGGAAAACGTGATTTGAGTACGTGCGATCGTTGTGCGGTCGCAACTTTGGCGATATTTCAGTGATGAGGAACTGGAACTGAAAGCTCCATCTATATCTACGCGCGCACACACACACACACACACACACACACACACACACACACAGTCCTCTCTGTTTACGAATCATAAAATATAAGACCATCTCGCGAAATTTGCAAGACTTGCTCATAAAATATAACCCAGCCGTTCTCTTTTCCGCTCTAATACAGTTCCCACAGTTGCGTTCCATCGCGATAATCGCAAGACCTGTCGGTGGGCATAATCGCACGCGCTCCGCGAACACGACGAATGACGTCAAATTAAAGCTACGCTTGCGCGCAGTCTACTTCCAGCAGTTGGAAAGATAATAAACGCGTGTCGAAGTTATCACGAAGAAATGAACCTGTCCAAGAGAGACGGGAGCTCCCGCACCCTCTCGGAGATGGCGGACTCTCGAGAGCGTGTTGCGAGGGCTGAAAAAAAGTATCGAGAGGTGAATACACGGCGGCGCGCGCGCCGCGGCGCGTGAGCGCGAGCGAGCGAATGAGAAAGAGAGTTAGAGGAGAGACAAGAGAGAGAGAGAGAGAGAGAGAGAGAGAGAGAGAGAGAAAAAGAGGAAGAGAGACACGGGCGGTCGGCGAGAAGAAACGGCAAGATCCCGTTGTGTATCGGTGCATGCACGTAGGGACCAGGTTGCACGCTACATCCTGCATGATGCTCGCCGTGGAGGTGGAGGTGGAGGTGGTGATGTTGGTGGTAGTGGTCGTATCGACCGGGTCTGGGCGGCTACCACCTCGCAATCTCTCGTCCTCATCCTCTCTCCCTTCTCTCCCTCTCTCTCTCTCTCTTCTTCTCTCTCTTTCTTCCTCTCCGACAGTCACCCTTCCTCTCGTGGGCTGGCTGGCAGGACGTGGCTCCAGCTCAGTGCTTCCGTTTCTACTAGTGAACCGAATGGCCGTCGCTCCTCTCTTCAAGTTTCGCTCTGGTCTCGCCTTCTCTTTCTACGGCCGACTACCGGCGCATCTCTTCTCTCATTTTTCTCCCGGTGGGCTCGATGGGTCGTCTCCTATTGGCTTTTCGTTCTCGGCGGTTCTTTGTATGCTCTTGCGCTTTATTGTCGGCGAGCGCTTGTCGAACCTTGCCAGCTCGGTCCGTGTTTGCCGTGCCGTGCCGTCCGTCCTTCCCTTCCCTGTCATTCTCTCGGTCCGCTGTCCTGTCTGCTTTCTCTTCTCTTCCGCCCCGTTTATTGTACTCTTCCCCCTCGGCGGCCACTTCCTCCCCCTCCTCTCGGCCCCTCGTGTTCTCCTGCCGCCCGTGTTTCGTCGCGTCACTTCCGTCTTCTCGCGTCGCTCTTCCTCCGTCGCTTGTTCGCGATATTCGCCGGAATATGCGAACCCGGGTTAGCCGCGCCATCACGCCCCAACCGGGCCGGCCTCCTGGACCGCCTACTCATATTCGGGGTCCTTGAATTCCTAGGGACTAAGAGTCGCCCCAGCACGACGGCGGATGCGAACCCCCCCGCCCTCGCCTCACCTCGACCTCCTCCCCCGCTAGCGGCAGCAGCCATCCAGTGTACGCCGGCCAGATGGAATCTCAAACGAGGTGATAAATGCAGCCCTCTTGAAATCCATCCGAACCTTTTTTATTCCCGGTCTCCCACTCCCTCCGCGTCCCATCTCCGCTGTTTAAATTGCTCGCCCTCTACGTATCTCTATCTCGCTCGTCCGATCGTTTCTGACGGAGGGCACATCGCGCGAACTGCAATTATCCGCCGCATCGGAGTGACGTCAGGCGGGGCGCGCGAACAGTTGTGAGGCAGAATTGTATCGGACTGACAACTTTGGGGGATTAACGTGAGATGAGTTTTTCGAAAGGATAATCAAGGAGAGAGAGAGAGAACAGGGACGATGGAGAGGAGGAGTAGAGGGGGGAGAAGCGAGCGAGATGGGTAAGAGGGAGAAAGGATGCGAGAGCCAGCGGACAATCGTGTCCCAGGAATGTCACAACCGTCAGACGTTGCGCGCCGACCGAATCCGGCCTGAGATTTCGCTAATGAGTTCTCGTGATTTTTTCAAGTCGATCCAGCCACGCGAACTGGCAATGTTCCTGTCCGTCGGGGAAACAAAAAAAAAAAAAAAAAAAAAAGGCTGGGAAGTTCGCGAACGTGCGCGCCAGAGGGAGGCTGTTAACTGTGGTATAGGGGATTTTAGAATGCTGCGATTTGATAACGCTTCGGCATTAGTGGCATCGCGAAGGGATAGTTCCGTTTTAGCTCAGCGTGGGATCGAGCGGTCGCCCAAAAGCCATCTCAGTTGTGAAGCAGTATCTCATAGTGAAGTTTTGCAATGTGTCGTCTAATTCGAGTGCTCTCGGGGAAGGACTTCGGAATGACAGGACGACACGCTCGCGCCTCTCCCGTACTCTGCAATTCGTCTGGGTAAGATCCGGCGAAGAGAACGAGAGAGAGAGAGAGAGAGAGAGAGAGTTGGAGAGAGAGAGACTTTGCCCCCTTCTCTCTTCTGCTCTATCTCTCCTAATAAACTTTTCGCGAGTGCCTGCAGAATTGACCTCGGGATTATTCGCCGACAAGATTTTACCCCTCCTCTCTCCTCCTCCACCCCTTCCTCTCTTCCTCGCGCCAGAAATAATACATCATACAACATATATATCTATATACACACATACATATATATACGTATATACGTACCTATCCGAAGGATTGCAATCCCCGCGCGCGAACGATAATCGCGTTTCATCGAGTTTGGCATTTTAAAGCGGCGCGCCGTTTCTCCGTCTCGTCCGGTCGAGAGGCGCGGCGCGGACCCGCTTTAGAGGACAAAGTAAAGAGCGAGGATGCTCTCCGCAGGCCGGCGCGAGACGCCGCCGAAACTGCGAGAATCTGACGTAAAAACGAATTTCGTCGACCGACATAATCCCGACGTTGCCGTCGTGCGACTGATAGTCTAGAATCGACGCGAGCGAAGGGAAAATGAGAGGCGACGGCGCGTTCTGCTCTCTCCGGAGAAAAAGATCGCCGTCTGAGTGTGCGACTCGGCCATACTCGATAGTCACTCGCACCTTATGTACAGCGTACAGCTATCTGATACCACCGTCTCCCCCGCCCCCCTCCTTCCCTTCGGTGCAAATCAAGCACGCTGTAATTTCGGACTAGATAACTATAGTCCACGGTACAGAATCGCGAACGAGACTGCGGCGCGCGCGCTTCGAATACTCGCACAGCGTCGAGTAATGATTTTTCGACGAGCGTGACTATAACGCGCGCCGGCGCAGATTCAATACGAATATGCCGAGAGCGCGACGTTTTAGTAACTATCCGAGCGTATCGCTATAGCGGCTATTAAAGGAACCGCAAACGTGCTGACCATTTCTCCCCTGTACACGTATATTCGGCTATAAAAAGGTAGCCCATAGGCCTCCCCTGCCCTCCCCCACCCCCGTGCTTCCTTTTATCTACGATCGGGCTTAACGAGCAATTTGGTGCGGAGCGTTCTTTACGACGACGGGGAAAAGACGGGGAAAGAGACGTGAAAATTAATCAAGCCCACGTCGGTCGAGGAATACGTAAGGACACCCGACGGAGCTCTCCGTCGGGGAATCCGGGTGAGGGGGAGGGAGGGAAGACATCTCCTCGGAGAGAGGAAAGAGAGAAGAGGAGAGAGAGAGAGGGCGTGTCATGTTTCCCCGCGTTTCCTCCTGCCGTCGCTCACGCGCGCTCCTGCGTTTTGACTCACGTATTGCTCGCTTTGCGTTAATTAAAGGTAAAACCGGCTCGCGCGCGCTTGTCCTTCGAGAGACCGCCCTCTCTCTCTCTCTCTCTCTCTCTCTCTCTCTCTCTCTCTCTCTCTCCCCCCGTCTCCTTTTTGTTCCTCATCTTCGAGACTGAGATAAACGAAGCGCTTTCTATTATTATTACCACGTCCCCGGCTTTCTAGCTGTAGCGCGAGTGCCGCGCCGCGCGGCGTCAGCCGGCCGCGGGGGGAAAAATAATCGCGTAACGGTGAGCGGTTTGAGATTCCGCGCTGGTGCGTTCTTCGAGGATACCGACGACGACAGCGACGGCGGCGGCGGCGGCGGCGGCGGTGGCGACAGCGGTGCGGCGGCGGTGGGCGTCTACCGGCGCAGATCATTGTCCAGCAGAGGGCAAGAGAGGGGGAGAGGGGGAGAGAGAGAGAGAGAGAGAGAGAGAGAGAGAGAAAAGAGAGAAAGTGCACGCGGGCAGACCGGCGGCTGCACAACTGCGGAGAACGACGCGGTGCGCGTCCGCGAGCGGCATGTACGGGCCACTGTTACGCATCGTGCGTGCGACACGTGCATTATGCGCCTGCCGTCGGACACGTGTGTCACGCCAAGACGACACTCGCGCGCGGCGCGGCGCGGCGCGAGCTCGAGAGACGGGAGCGAAATTACGAGCGAGGAACGGAGGCGACGCGAGGCGGCGGCGGCGACGGCGAGTCTCTCGCGCGCCTCTCAGATCGAGCGTGTAATCATGGCGAAATGCAATTGCGTGCGCGATTCTATGGGAGAGTGTTGCGGCGAATGAACGGATAGACGATGTCGTGGGGCGACGGTGATCCCGCGCGGAGACGGGTGGTATCGAGGTATCGTCGCGATGATGCAGCCTCGAAGCTCCTTGCATTGAGATCGGACGGACGGCCGCGAGAGCGACAGCCGCCGCGAGCCAATCACTCGAAATTCGAGTGGTCTTTCACTCATCGGCGGAGCCTGTTTCGCCTCGGGAGCCTCGACGGGATATTTTTTTCGTTGGGAATCGAAGAGTGAAGCCCGTGTATTACACCGAGTCGCGGGAGCAAATTCGCTCGGATCGATCGAAACGTGTTAACTTGGTCGTCGCGTTGGAAAAGTTGATGAACACGCGGCGTTTGGGAGAAGCAGTATCGTTGCGCCCGATGGAAAAAAAAAAAAAAAAAGAGAGAGAGAGAGGAAGGACG